CCCTGCGGTCCCACTCATTCCCTCTCCAGAACTCCCCTCCAGCGCCTGTCCCACCCCAGCCCGGTCACCCGGCTCCCCTCCATCCCCCAAAAATCCCCTTACATCCCCTTGGGTTCCCTCCCTGGCTCTCCTCCCAGGAACCCCCTGCTATGTCCCTATGTCCCCATACCCCCTTTTCCAGTGCACTTCCCAGAAACCTCATTCCACCCCGAGACCCTTCAGTCCTGCATCCCCGATGGGAATCCCACTCGGACATGGGGATGGGAACAGGCAGGAACTGTTGTTCGGGACCCTCCCTGACCCCAGGTGTCTTGTCACCGATGCCAGGGCCACCTCGAGGTGCCTGGCCTCTGCGCTCTCTTTTGCTCCCAGATTCTTGCACCTGGGCTGCAATTTTTTTTCCCCCTTCCCTTCATCTGTTGATGGAAATGATTTACAACCGGCTTACACGGGCCGCCTGATCCAGGCCTTCATTGGACGGTCAGATTAACCGAGGGTCCTTCTGATAAAGATAATTACAAGGGGACTCCGCATTAACTTTGCATTATTAAAGAAAGACCCAAATCTCCCATGGCAAGCTGTTCCCGGGATTAGCAGAACAATAACTTTCATTTAGGATAATTGCCGTGGCCGGCGCTGGGGGCTGGCGGGGGGGACCCTCTGGACCGTGGTGCTTTTCACCGAGAAAGGCAAACGGGTGTGAGGGCAACGGGAGGTGTGGGAGCGTGGTCACACTTCCAAAGACACCAATCCGGGGTGCTCGGGATGCAGGGATGCTTGGGGCACCCCCACCCAGGGATCGAGCTCCCCGCCCAGGCACGGAGCACCCCGGGATCCCCTCGGGCATTTCGCTTCTCCAGAGTGGTTTTGCTGCAGTTTTGCTGGAATGGGAGACTTTCACTGCTAGGCAGGGAGGATCTGCCACAGTAATTAGAAGTCATAATCCGGCCACCACCCACAACAAATTTCCTGTTCAAGCAGATATTAGTGGTTAAAACCCTAATTTTTGATGTTGTCCCAGAATCAGCTTGATTTCAGCAGTTTACATTGAGGCTGAGCTGTTGGGAGAGATGATGAAGCCTTAAATATGCATATGGCCTAGGCATTTGGAAAGTTTGGGGATAAAGCRCGTATAATTGCTCCTAATCAGTTTATGAAACATAAAAGCTCAAACCCAAGAGAAAGCCGATAGACGCAGAAATGGAAATAGCGATTAAATCTCCCCATGCTGGCAAGGTGGCCTGGATATGGCACTGCTGCCCGGGCTGGAGGGTGACCGAGGCCACGCCACGGGGGATGGGGACACCTCTGTTCCCAGGACAGGGCAGTGGGACGGGGTGTGGGGACATGCCTGATGCCACCCCCGCTCCCCCGGGCACCGTGCAGAGGGRCATCTCCACCGGTCCTTTGGACAATAAATCAGTTAAAGGATATCTTGATATATGCTCATCAGATAGGATTAGCTGGGATTAGACTAATCAGTAAATGTTTCTCTGCTCATTATTTTCCAAGGAAGATTTTCAGCTGATTCTCCGACGCCGAAAGATTATTAATCGCTTAAAGAGCAGAACATCAAACATCGCCCCTTGCTCTAATTTCCCTGGGGTTTGCCCCCCCGTCTCCGTGGGCATGGTGCCCATGCCAGCCGGCCTGGCAGCCTCAAGGTGCCCCAGCAGCCACCGTGGGGCTCTCCCAGAGCAGCCCGAGGCCGCAGGACCCCACAGTGCGGTCCCACATCTCAGGGGTGCGAGGGGTGAGTGATGCTGGAGCACCCCATTCAGGGCTAGGGACACAGAGAGGGTGGCACAGTCCCCAGGCTGTCCCCTGCTCCCCATGGCTGCTCCACCACAACATCAGACACTTGCCATGACCTACGGGATGGAGGGCACACGTGATGGGATGGGTGGCTGGAGCTGTCCCAYTCAGACACCAGGAACCAGCCTTGCRAGTCCTWASAGGATTACAGAYAGTGCAGCATTTTGGCAGACCCTCCTCAGCTGATAACATCTCCAGAGCCAGCACTTGATGGGGTTGTGGAGTCCCTGTGTTCACCTTGGGGCTCAGGGAAAGCCCCACAAGGATGTGCACTCACCCTGCAACCACCTGCTGTAGCGATGAGGAGGGGGCAGCAAGGAGAAGGTATTGAAGGGCCTGGTTTAGGGGATTAGTAATGGGATAAGACAGCTTTCACCTCCCTGGTTTAGATATGAATCAGGTCAATAATAAAGGACCATCTGACAGTTCCAGGCAGCTCCGGGTGGAAGAGGCTCCTGTGCCTCATCCAGGCTGGATGGAGAACTCCTCAGCAGTCACAGCCTGGTGCTCGCCCCCAGCTCCACACCCCACACCTGCATCAGCTTCTGGGACACCAGAACGGGTGCCCAGGTGGCCAGCTCATTGTGGAGGGCCAGCTCAGCCAGTCTGYTGGTGGCCACAGTGGCTTTGCACAGGTGTAGGGTGGCCCAGATGCGGAGTGCAGCAGGCTGATGGCAACACTGGCAATTTGGCAAGGGTCAGAACCTCAATAAGCATGGACAGAAGGAAAAGAGCTTTGCTTCTGCCTCCTCCATGTCCTGCTGGGAGSACAGGAAGGGATGGCTGCTGTGAAAGCATTGCCTCTGACACSGGGGTGAAAAGGGGCTGAGAAACAGGCCAGGGACAAGGCAGCAAAGAGAGGGTGTTGCATCCAGCCACATCTGTGTTTTGCAATGCTGAATCCCCACTTCTGAGTTACAGATGAGCCTCCTCCCTGAAATACAGGTGATGAGATGCTCCCCAGGCTGCAGCAGGGCTCAGWGATGGATTGTGAGTGCCCTCCTGGCCAGGTGGGAGTGGACAGAAATAGTGGCCAAGTCCTGTCCATTTTGGCGTGATGGATTGGCAGAAGCAGGAAGCACAAACAGATTGAACTACTCAGGGAACCTGTGCTCTCTGCCCTGTTAGGCTGTGGRAAGTGCTTCATTTGTAGCTCAATCCCAAATGTGGGTGCAGCAGAGGGTTTGCACAGCCACAGCTGGCCAGGCACCACCTGCTCAGTGCTGGCCCAGCTCACTGCAAGTGCTGTCAGCCCTAATTTGGCACGGGGGGTCCCTTCCCGTGTCCCGCTCCGCACGCCCCGGAGACATCCCTGCTAATTCCTCCGCACAGATTTCTGTCTTAAGGCATTTGCCTTTGATTAAAACCAGAAGAGCAGTCACGGTTTAAGTGGAGTTTAAGAGCCAGCCATGTGCCGCTGCGCGGGGCGCTCACATCTGGAGTGTCGCAGATTTAATCAAACTGCTGGGAAGTGCCGCACGCAGACAGCTGTCACAGCAGCCTGCAGCCCATCTCCTAATTAATTCYGAGCCAGCACGGGGCAAACAAATGACCATCAAGGTGCTACACCTACAGCCTCGACTGGAGCGTGGCTGGCAYTCGGTGAGCAAGCACAGCTCACCCCGTGTGCCTCCAGGAGCTGTAGGGGACATGGGACGGGGAAAGCCCTGTTCCTGCTCCTGGRGCTGGTTCCAGAGGTGTTTGTTTGTATGGGAACAGGAGGGACAGGGTTTTCAGGAAGGAACCCAGCTGGAGCATCACAACAGATGTGGCGCTGATTTCTGGTTGCTCCTTCAGCTGCTGCTTTTGGCTTCCACTCCTTCTTGCTTCTTCCAAACTTGTTGCTTTGTGGTACCATTGCCCTGCCCATCTCACACTCCCCTCTTGTCCTATCCAGAGTGTGTGAGCTGGGACACTGCYCTCCCTGGAGATGCTCTGCTTGGTGCCACCCGGGGCTCCCTCTCAGCAGAGCAAACTCTGCTTCCACAGCCTTACGGAAAATCTGGGCGAATCTGCGCAAAACAGGTCAGGCCCAGACTCGGTTCTCCTTGGTGCTCCTTCACAGCTCATTAAAGCTAATTGAAATGACGACCAAAGCCGGGTCTATGTGGGTGTTTGGAAGCTCTGGGCACAAGGCACGACTAGGCTGGGAATATCCAACTGTGAGGAGCCCCAAACTAGCYGATGG